ACGTTTTCGCATAAAATAAACAAACCGACGCCAACTAACGTATGGACTCTCGTATCGTACGTGAAATTTATCATTTTGTTTTCCGTTCGAAAAGATCCAAACTAACTGATTCTCTTTCGATCGATCGATATTTTTCGCTAAGATTTTCCACGAGCCATCTGGATTTTGTTTTGTTGATTTTTTTCCCGCAAATTTGCTCTCAATCAACAAACATTGAAAATGATTTAATGCCTACTTTACACTATTTACACTAAAGATTTTACCTTTTTGCTCTTGTGTACTCGAATCCATTCCGATGTAGTACTCAATCTCATTTGGTGTAAGAATCATTGATATCAAAAATAGATTCATTCATTCATCGGAATTCATCATATGGCAAAAAAATCGCAATTTCCGCATTCAATCGGAGCAATTCACAGTTTTTACAGCTTTAAAATCGAAAGAGAATGAGAGAGGGACAGATGGGAGGAAGGAGGAAAATTAAAACGGGCACGATTCACACAAATGAAAGGGATTTGTATTTCTTCGAAAGATATACACACAGTTTGCACACTGAATGATGAACCTCATCATGAGGGTCATGTAAATGCGTATTACACTCTTGGAATTTTATTAATTATACGGTTGAGCATGGGTATTGTTTATGCGACCACATATGTATGTAGGTTGCAGACTGAAATTGAATGATTGAATTTTCGACGAATCAACCGACCGCAAAAAAGTCCGATTCCAATCAAATCAATATGAATTTGTTATATTGCGTCGGTGTTTAATATAATGCCAATGTTCGCATTAAACGACGTACATTTTACACTTTAATTCATTCATAAAGCACAGATAGAAAAAATATATACAGCTGACAGCTATTCCAATTGATCCGTAGTACGACTCGAAAACACAATGTTAAACAACATTTTGTTTTCGAAAGTGGGATTCGAATATGTTTTAAAATGTGAACGATTTTTGCCATTCACATTGAAATGTTAACCTTTTCGAACTTTTCTACGGAATTTTTCTTCTTTTCCATCAGATATTCTGATTTGATGGGAGAAAAAAAAATCCTGAAGTGTCTGTGTAGATTATCCTCCAAACTTAAGACGAAGTAGAAGTTTGGTTAATAAAGATGGAAGATAAAGAAAAAGCAATAAAAACATGCAACTCACTCGAATTAAGACTTGACTTGACCAATTCGAAAGAGATTGCGCGATATCATATAGACACTATCAATCTTATTTCACATCCCAAATTTTCAGTTTTGGTTTGATAAATCCAAGCCCGACCAAAAGTGAAATTTATTGTGGCGTCGCATGGATGTGGCAACTCATAATACAACATCGAAGTGAGAAAAGCACTCAACGTGACTACGAAATTCTCTCACATGTTATATATATACAACAAGCAAAATACACAACTGCACACACCAAATTTTGTCGTCTATATTATGGTTTGAGTTGGGAAAGGTTTTGCCACACGTGTTATGATACACAAACACACAATATGAAAATAATTTTACTACTTCGCGACATTTTCGCACGTCCCGGACAAAGGCGATGAAAACGCGAACATAAAGAACAATCGGACAATCGAAATTACTATAAAATTCGATGTAAAGTGGTCACTTGGCCCATGGTTTTTGGCATTTTCACATTTGTTCTCAATTATTATGTGACATATTTGAATTTCATGTTTAAATTTATTACGACTATTGTTACCCCATACAAAGTGATTCTCTATTCTCTATTGCTCCATAGTTTCGAAAATGTTCCACAGCACGTGGCTTTTCGATTTCAATTTGGGGCAGTTGCATTTTTCCTATTCAACAAAATTGATTAGCTGAATTGTCGAAGCAGACTCTTTTCTTTTCGCACAATGTGTGATTGTGTGTGGATTCAAATGTAAAAGGAAAACCTGATTTCATCATAAATATTTAAAAGCGAACGCAATTCACATTCTTGATCAATTAGCGGTGACTTTTGATTGGATTTTTGCATAGAAGAAATTGGTATGGTCAGTTTTCCTGTTTATACAAAACAAATTCGTATAAATTAAATTGAATATTGTACGGTTGAAAACTGTTTCATCTTTTCAAAAATGATAGAAACAATCTCGTATTCGTTCCGTGCTGCGCAATTAGTGTATTTCATATAATTGAAAAATGAAAACATAGAGCTGTGTGTTTGTGTTGTGTTTGGAAAATTGAAATGGCAAAAATCGATAAATTTAATTTGCGCCTCGTGATATGCATAATTTCGTCTCTCAACCGTAGATTCGCAGACATTGATTGTTGAATCAATCATCCAAAGCGAAATAGTTTAGTAGAAAGAAAAAATGTGCACGCGTGATGAAAGGGTGTTTATTTTGATGTGTATGTGATTGCATTGTTTTTTGTTTTCATTTGGTGCCAGTTCCTCATACATATAGTAGCCACAGTGCAAAGAAAAATAAAGAGATGCAAATGAGCTAACGATTCTAAATTTAAACAAATAATATATTTTCACACTGTTTTCACGTTTGGAATCTCGATGCTGGACATTTTGTATAAAAAAGGAGTGCGCTCCGAGAGGGCACGGCCATATTCAATCCAAGTGCGCGCATCTGGCACAAATTATGCAAAAATAGAATAAAATTATTCACATTTTTTTCCCGCTCTCACTACCTAGGATATTTTCACTGCGCACCATGATGCCAATATAAATATTAGCATTTCAGATTGTTTTTCATTTGGTAAACAATCGAATCCACTTACGGTGGAATGATATTTTGTATGGACTGAGAATACTACGCAGGTGATTTGTTCCAAATGAAGAAAAAAAACACTCACAACGCAATTCCATCGTCAGAACTGGGGCAGTCATTGTATTTTTGTGGGCTTCATATGAAATTATCTCTCTTGCATTTTCTGCATAACTCCCATCAGATCATTACTATTCGTAGCTAGAATAGATTGTTGGAATAAAAACCATTATCTGTACCGACAGGTTACTACATAGTAATCATTCCGTGCGGGAAATCGTATCAAATCGATCAAAGCGGTTATTGCAGCTTTCATTCACAAATGATGTCATTCAAATCTGATTAAGCCACGAATAGCTTTGCTTCGAATGGAATTTTCTAATCTATCAAACCACAGTGAATCACATCTCTCTGATTGGATTCAATCGAATGCAAAGCATTCCAAAAATGGGCAAGCCAATAAACTTTGATATGTGGAAATTAAATTGCTGTTTTATAGAATTTTCCTCCATCAAACAACGCATC